CCGATCACGATTAAAACTCCGAGAGTCTTAAAATGAAATGAAACACGTCGAGGAACTTGATGGACGTCGATAAAGAAGATTTTTCTAAATGCCTACGTTGCCGACGTTCGTTTTTATATTGACAGCTGGGTCGAATTATATTGTGTATTGTACCAAATGGCATATTCCACCTGTCGTTTTCGTACAATAATTATAAAGAAATCGAAGTAAAACTCCAGAAATCCTCTGGATTCATGCCTTCTGGGGCCCTAATTGACTGCGGAGGGACCCCCTGCGCCATCTGTGATTTCCAGGTCAATTAAATTTTCCCTCCGAGACCTCCTATTACCACCGTTTTGGCAAAGAAGCGCATACAACACTGTTTTTGCCTTTATTCCGTTCAAATGGGAATTTATCGATTACCAGAGTGTTCTAAATTGTCGTAAAATTGTCCTGACCCTTTCGATTCTCATATCAGAGCCTTCGATAATTGTATATTGATCGAAATATGAGAGCTCGACGCCATTTTGGTTCTGGTCTGGCCTGAGTTAAAAAATGTTAAAAAATTCAAATGTTGAATGTGTCAGGACAATTCTTAGATGATCAGGAGTGATGTGTCAAAGTTTCGGACAGTCGGGTCTAATAACCTTAAAAAAAAAGTGTCGCATTCGAATCGACTGATTTTAAGGGCGTTTCACTTCACCTGAAGATCATTTTATCCTCACAGAGACAAATAAACATGGTGATAAATTAGATTAGTAAACAAAGCGATCACGATTAGAACTCCGAGAGTCTTAAGATCATTTTATTCTCAACGGACACAAGGAAACGTGGTGATTAATTGACCATGGTGCCCACTCTCGACAGAAGTTAGCTTTATGTGGATAGCTTCGCTCAGATAAGGTCCCTGATCTGTATACTAACTGGATAGCTGATACCCAAGGTTGGGTAGGTATAATACGTCATCTAATATACATGGTTTTCTACTATATTACAACATATAATACGTTCCTAGTTTTCTACGTGAGTGCGAAGTATATAACACCCTTCTATTTCTAAATAGAAAATAATAAATTCAATTAGAAATTTGATATTAAACTTGGTTAAGTTATAAGAATTTGAACACAAATGCCATATTAATTATTTCTTAACAATTTTTACGTGATTATATGTGCGCTAAGAGACGTTAATCTTGCGAATACATATATCGTGCATCTGTGGAATCCGCCATATTGAAAACGGAAAATTGTAAACAATTTTGAATACAAGCTCCAAATTAATTGTTCCTTAAAATATTTCCGTGTTTACTCATGTGCTGAAAGACGTTTATAACCTAGCAGAATTTATCGTCCATCTGCGGCATTCTTCATATTGGAAACGTAATTTATTGGTTTTCTACGATTTTCTCCGGTAAACTACTTTCTTACGTAATATACGTCAAAAACCTCGAAAAACGCGAAATTACCCAATCATGCTGATACCTATTTGTTCTATACGGAGAGGATTTCGACGAATTCAAGGCACCCCAGCGCCACCACATATGGGCGGCGATACTAAATAAGTAACAGGTGCGCATGCGCAGAAGTTTTGAACTGTTATTCTGTCAAGCCTTTTGGTGCCGGGCAACGATATATCGTCGCTTTACAAGTGTTAAGGTGAAATGAAACCTCCTTGAAATCAGTCGATTCGAATACACTTTTTTTTAAGGGTATTAGACCAAACTGTTCGAAACTTTGACACATCACTCCTGATCATCTAAGAATTGTCCTGACACATTCCAAATTTGTATTTTTGGAAAACAATTTTTAATTTAGCCCAGACCAGAAGCAAAATGGCGTCGAGCTCTCATATTTCGATCAATATACAATTATCGAAGGCTCTGTTATGAGAAACGAAAGGGTCAGCACAATTTTACGACAATTTAGAACACTCTGGTAATCGATCAACTCGCATTAGAACGGGATAAGGGCAAACAAAGTGTTGTATACGCTTCTATACTAAAACGATGGGAATAAGAGGTCTCGGAGTGAAAATTTAATTGACCTGGAAATCACAGATGGCGCATGGTGTCCCTGGGCAGTCAATTAGGGCCCACGAAAGCATGAATCCAGACAATTTATCCAGTTTTACTTCGATTTCTTTATAATTATTGTACGAAAACGACAAGTGGAGCATGCCGTTTAGTACAATACCCAATATAATTCGACACAGCTGTCAATATAAAAACGAACGTCGGCAACGTAGGTATTTCAAAAAATCTTTATCGACGTCGATCGAGTTCCTCGACGTGTTTCACTTTACCTTAACACTTAGTACCCACGTGGAGGAATCTTTCTATTTTCCAAATTTTCTCTGGCCATTTCGCGGTGTGTTCATCCTGCGGCGATGTCTTAGGAGCAATTAATTAGCAATAAAAATCTCCTGTTAAGAAGTCAGTCGTTTCCCACCGTTTGCATATTGTCATGCTGCTACCGGTCCTAAGGATGGTGACATACCCCTTTATGGGTGATAAGGAATCGAAGTTTGGTTTTTCTGCGAGCAATTAATTAGCAATAAATTCTGGAGTATACGCCAACTATGAACATTTGCTTTATTATCGTTTTTATAACGTGGCTTAATATAAAGCTGGCATCGCCATCGTTTTTCGGAAAAGTAAAAGTACAAAAAAAAAATGTTTCTTTGCGCATTAAAATAGCAATAAATTGTATTAAATTGTGCTAAAGTGACAATGCCAGCTTTATAGACATTCTAGTTTGTACAGGGACAAACATGAATGCCTCCCATATGAATATGGTACCGCCAATGTAAAAGATGCACGTATGCATGTTGGACGCTGTACAAACCAGAGCCGGATTGGAGACGGATCGGAGGTGTGTAAATGAACCTTAATTGTAGAATCACTTAAATAATAGCCTAATTCAAGTAACGTGTATAATTTCAGCGATTAGTAATTACCCCGGAAAGATGTGAAATTGCGTTTAATACTAATTACTAAATACCAATCTTCTTGGCTAGAGATGAGTGTACACACAAATATAGCAGAGTTGATAAATCCATATTTTAAATCGATAACAAAAGCCGACCGTTAAATGTAATCTGGATTGTTTAAAAACAATGTTACGGGTTAAAACACGTAAAATATAAACGTGACGTTACTTTTAATGTTACGTAGAATTGAATTCAACGTCTTACCCTGTCTTAGCACAAATTGATAGGAAAAAAGTACTGCTTGTAATGTTCAGTGCTTTTTTAAAAGAGCTTTCAACAACGTTGTATGAAGTTCGACATTTCAAATATCGGTGTAATTGGTAGCTTTCTAGAAAAAGTTATTTTTAACATTGAATATTATATTACGTTGAGTCTAAGAGTTTTATAATGTGACAACCAATGAAGAGTCCAGGAAACTCATTAGTATTGAATGTTAAGGTGAAGTGAAACACGTCGAGGAACTTCATCGACGTCGATAAAAAAGATTTTTATAAATGCCTACGTTCGTTTTTATATTGACAGCTGTGTCGAATTATATTGGATATTGTACCAAATGGCATACTCCACCTGTTGTTTTCGTACAATAATTATAAAGAAATCGAAGTAAAACTCCATAAATCCTCTGGATTCGTGCTTTCTGGGGCCCTAATTGACTGCAGAGGGACACCCTGCGCCATCTGTGATTTCCAGGTCAATTAAATTTTCATTCCGAGACCTCGTATTCCCATCGTTTTAGTATAGAAGCGTATACAACACTTTTTTTGTCTTTATCCCGTTCAAATGCGAGTTTATCGTTTACCAGAGTGTTCTAAATTGTCGTAAAATTGTCCTGACCCTTTCGATTCTCATATCAGAGCCCTTGATAATTGTATATTGATCGAAATATGAGAGCTCGACGCCATTTTGATTTTGGTCTGAACTAAGTTCAACAATTTTTTCCGAAAATCCAAATTTTGAATGTGTCAGGACAATTCTTAGATGATCAGGAGTGATGTGTCAAGGTTTCGGACAGTTTGGTCTAATACCCTTAAAAAAAAGTGTTGTATTCGAATTGATTGATTTGAAGGGGGTTTCACTTCACCTTAAATGTATAAATATATGCGACATGTATATGAACCATTAAGTTGAGTTACATAAGCCTTAGATGGAAAACATTCGTTCCTGTAACACCTACATAAATACAATCGCAGGAATGAACAGAACAAGAGAGCCAATCATGTATATGTTAAGGTGAAGTGAAACCCCCTTCAAATCAGTCGATTTGAATACAACACTTATTTTTAAGGGTATTGGACCAAACTGTCCGAAACTTTGACACATTACTCGTGATCATCTAAGAATTGTCCTGACACATTCAAAATTTGGATTTTTTAACTCAGCCCAGACCAGAATCATAATGGCGCCGAGCTCTCATACTTCGATCAATATACAAATATCGAAGGCTCTGATATGAGAAACGAAACGGTCAGGACAATTTTACAACAATTTAGAACACTCTGGTAATCGATAAACTCGCATTTGAACGGGATAAAGGCAAAAAAAGTGTTGTATACGCTTCTATACTAAAACGATGGGAATACGAGGTCTCGGAGTGAAAATTTAATTGACCTGGAAATCACAGATGGCGCAGAGTGTCCCTCTGCAGTCAATTAGGGCCCCAGAGAGCATGAATTCAGAGGATTTCTGAAGTTTTACTTTGATTTCTTGATATTTATTGTACGAAAACGACAGGTGGAGTATGCCATGTGGTACAATATCCAATATAATTCGACACAGCAGTCAATATAAAAACGAACGTCGGCAACGTAGGCATTTAGAAAGATCTTCTTTATCGACATCGATCAAGTTCCTCGACGTGTTTCACTTCACCTTAATGTATTACTACATTTCATTCCCTTTATTATTGGTTTCATTTATTTTTATGTCCTTTATAAAAGTACAGAAATGTATCTTGTTTTAAGAATGTCAAATATACCTTCTGCTAGTTTGTTAAATGACGATGACAGATTCTAATAGTTTCATTTTATTTCTAGGTACACAGGCAAGACGAAGTAAAAAGAGATGCAAAGGATGTAGCAATTTCACTGGACTGAAAATGGCAAAGAAAAAAGTGGCATTGATCCATTAATTAAGTCTAGTTGTATTCGCAGTCCAGGAAAATATTTTTCTGCGAAACAACACTACTAGCATTAGCTAAATATGTCAAGACCGATTGAGGTCCAACCATCACAACAACAGCAATCTCAGCAACCGCAACAGCATTCACAACCTCAGTCACAGCAGCAGCAGCAGCAGCAACCCCAGCAGCAACAATCGCAACAACCGCCGCCGCAGCAGTCACAGCAGCAGCAGCAGCAACAACAGCAGCAACAACCACCGCCCTCGCAACAGCAACAGCAGATGATGCTTACAACTCATGAGATGCAGCAACAAAACGTTCAACAGCAGCAGCAAGTGCAACAACAAGTTCAGCAGCAACAGCAACCACAAGTTCAACAAGTCCAACAATCGGTCCAACAACAGCAGCAACTTCAGTCACAGGTTCAGCCACAACAGCAGTTGCAGCAGGTACAGCAGCAAGTGCAACAGCAAGTACAAGTTCAACAGGTCCAACAAGTGCAGCAGCAACAGCAACAACAACCTCAAGGAAATGGGCCGCATAATGTAGTCTCAACACAAGTTCAAGTTCAGCCGCAAGTTGCTGCCATAATGCCACAGCAACAAGTATGCATCTATGGATTATTTTTTAGTATGTTACAATCGCTACTGAAGATTTCAGACACGGGACATAATGGGACATTCTATATATATAATAATTTAATCGCATATATGCTCCTTGCAAATCATGTAACCAAGCAATGATTACGTTCTGTAATTGTATGGGTAAATTTACAAATATTGGGAACATTCATCGATTTTTAATAAATCCTTGAAAGCAGCATTAGAAAGTATTGAAAAATGATAATGCTGGACAGCGTCATGTGGGCAAAATTGAAGTTTAAACACGTTTGTAGGAATATTATCATTGTCATTATGCATTGGACATTAGACAGTGATAATATATTTTGATTGGTATCCTGCGTAAGCTGGTAATGATATTCATTTTACATAGAATGGACCTAGAATTACCTATCTGGAATGTTTAGTAAAGAGCGTTGAAACCAAGTCCAGGAATAATTTTGATGGAATTTAAAACACTAGACAGCTGTTGCCGTATCGATGCAGCATCAGCAGCAGCAACAGGGTGTTGGGGGAGTTTCAATGACATTGTCGGGTCAACAAGGTGCAACAACGATAACTACAATGGCTGCTCATCCTCAAGCTATGCAAGTTATTCAACAACCACTTCAGAGCCAGGCATATCACCTACAACAATTATACAATACTCAAGGAACGCCTTTGTTAATGCCCGGAAATCTGGCGCTTCATCCAGCTGGCATTAATCCATCATCCATTCAGGTAAATGCTGAGTACATTAAAAGGGAGATTTAAGTATTTAATACCGTTCATTGAATTAATTACATAAAACCATCGACACATTCTTTTCCATAAATTCTATCCAATAATGTTGCATTTCAGAAGAGAAATATTAAATTTATTTGTGTAACAGGTGATAACTGCGGGTAAACCATTCCAATCAGCGGCACAACTGACACCCCACATGTTAACAACAGCGTCAACACCTGGACAAGGAGGTGGACATCCTGGTGCAGGCGGTGCTAAAGTCCAAGGGTTTCCTGCGGGATATCTACCAGTACCTACATCTGCTACACCTGGGGCAGGACAGACGTTGGTTTTCGGTCAACTCGGAGTTTCGGGCTCGTCTCAGGCACCACCTTCGATGCAACAGCAGCAACAACAACAGTCTAACAACAAACAAGATCAAGTTCAAAAAGTAATAATTTAACAAAATGCAAACTTGTCTAATCGGGAATACTTATTCAGTAATCAAGATATACCGAAATTTGTACACGGCATATTATTTAAAAAGAAGTGCAGTTATTGCGGAATACTTTGGTTCCCTAGTCACTTGTAAACTAATGTGGCCATTTGCGCGGGAAGATTAGCACAATAGATGACTAGGTTTAAAAGTCATTTGCTGTTTTCTGCATCAGGAAATGTATTTAAAGTGAAAATTATCTGATGCTAACAGAATCGTAACTTAGACGAAACAGCTCGTTGATATTTGATGTCGATTTTAAGGGTCGGAAGGGCCTCCAATTTGTTAATATAAAAAATATACGTTCATTTCTAGTATACCACCTGTGCTGCTGGAACACCGACCGGTGGGAGAAGTGGAGGGATGCAGTTTGCACCTTGGCAGTTCGCTCCTCAAGTTGCATGGACGGGACTACAGCCTCCGACTCTGCTCACTGCAGCGCCAAACCAAATATTTATAAGGGGACCAACTCAGCCTGACATGTTCATTCAAAGTCCGCAACCCATACAAACTCATATTAGTTAGTTTTTCAACGTTTTCAATGCCTTTTTACTTGCCCAGAATTTTATATTTCTAAGAGTACTATAAGCACAATTTCGAGTTTCTTAATTTTAAACGCTTGTTACAGCCTTGGCTACGCAACAGCAAATACAAGGAGTGCAACAAATTGCTGCAGGTGGGAAGCCAAGGGTAATGGACGTGCAACAACAGCAGCAACAGCAACAGCAGGGTAAACAGGCTACGACTGGGCAGAGGCCTCTCAGTATCCTTCCATCTTCGCTGCAAGGAGTACAGGGGGCTAATATCAGGCCTGCTAGCTCCGTTTCGACACAGACGGTCCATGGAGTCCAAGCCACGGTCCACACGCAGGTTAATATACAAACGACTTATGGATATTCTTAAATTGTTTAGAATTATGACATCGAGCATCAAGTAATTTTACATTTTGACATGTCCGAAGTATTACCTTAAAGTTACTATAAAATGAGCCGCTCTCAGTGCACACATCGACTAACTCCACTTTTTGAAAAATCTTAAATTTAGGGGTCAAATCACTTGGTATAGTCATAACTTTTTATATTTATAATATCTTTCCTGATTAATAGAGATTAACACCATTAAACGGCAACATTTTTTTGGGCATTGAATAATAAGTCATTTATTTCAGAAGCCATTTTGATTAACTCCATACTCTAATGTAAATCGTAGACGAATACCTGGCAGTATAGTATTATTGGATTATCTGTTGCGGCCGTACATCGACGCTTTTTTTTTTAAACAGCCGAAGATGCTTTCCCCCTTTCAACAATATGAGGAATAAAATCGCATCAGCAAACAGATAGAAAGAAGCGCAATGCAGACGGTAGTTAGTATAACAGTGATCTCACACGCTGAATGTTACTGTATACTTCACCAATATTACGCGGATTACATATTTTTTGGTCTTTTCAACATTACTCCCTGATTGTTTTTAAAGAACTAAATATTATACCGTTATAATCAAGATGAGTGAAACTAATAACAATGTGGATGTGGAAAGCAATGATGATTCTTCAATACGATTTATTAGCAGAAAGTAAGGTGCAAGAAGACGTTTATCGTGTTTCTCGGATTCATCCGATTGCAACGGTACAAATTCCCCAACAAACACATCGATTGGGAGGAAAAGAAGTCGTAATCCTGATAAATGGGCACGAAATTTACAAAAGTATAACGGAACAAAAGGTTTGGCATACAGGAATAGGGGAGGAAATTTAATACCTGCAAAAACATTTGTCGATATAAAATGCAGACGATTATTTTTTGGCTATTCTTCTTATTAATTTTATATACCGTTAGATGAAAACTATAACTGTATTTATGCATTCTACATTATATATTTGAAGTTATATTATAATAGGAATTTTAAAAAAGAATCTACATTACTTCATCGCATTTCTCAACTTTTTGTTTTATGGAGTTAATCAATGTGTGCACTGAGCGGCTCAAATGTCGATCCACAAGTGAGAAAAATCTGTATTATAGTAGTTCAATATCGAAAACTATGACCGAAAATTGTACTGTAACTCATTATTCAATATGCTTTTTATGAGTATTTGCATGCCCTTTACATTGTAAGGTTTCTATACATTACGTACCTAGCTTTGTTAATTGTGAGATTCTCTCAACTTTGATGAATGATTGTATAAAGTGTGTAGAAGATACACGTATTAGAAATAAGAAACTTCATTTGCAATTCCTTTTTCAGAGTGGGAAAGGAGGTAACAGCGGAGGCAAAGGACGAGGCAAACCAATGATCCGGACGAGTCCTGGCCCAAATGCATCCGCAGCAACAACCAAAGCAGACGCAGCAAATCAAACAAAATCCAACGTCCACCATGCTACCATGATTATGCAGCAACAGTCGACAGTGAGCAACAGTATTGGAAATAACAAAGTCCTTATCGCTGCGAATTCACCCATCGTTAGCTCTGCGCAACAACCCGGTTCACCCATGGTAGTTTCTGATAAACAGAATTTTGCACAGCAAAATAAAAGCGTGATGCAGACGCAACAACAGCAGCAACAAAGTCAACAACAGTCGATGCAACAGCAGCAGCAAGTATTCATACAGCAGATGCAGCATATTCAGCAGCAGCAGCAACAACTACAGCAACAATACCAACAGCAGCAACAACAACAGGCTTCTCAGCAGCAAATACAGCCCAAACCGATTATGAGTAAGCATTATATCTGTCGTGTTTATTATACCCATAAAAGAAAGTTGTTGAAGTACGAATGAAATATCAATTTTGGGACGTTATGCACTTTCATGTCGTACAGACATAGTCGGGTTAAGTGAGTGTACTTACTAAGTAGAATTCTGAAAATATCATTCAATAATTGCAAATGAATATTACTGTATAATACTTATATGTATTATTCCATTTGATAATTTGTTTCAATAATATTTAATGAAACCGATCTAGAACTTGTGAAAAGTTTCTTCAGAATTTCTACAAAATATACTGAAGATTTGGTTTGCTACAGTCAAGAAATTTTACGTCATGTAATTTTATAATATTTTGAACCTTCAACGCATTCTCATTTTTCTTAGCTGGCATGAGTTTGCAACAACAACAACAAGGGGTAGTTCTTGGAGCCGATCGCCCTATAATGCCAGTAGTTTCAATGGGAGGAGTAGGAGTTGCTACTGCGTTGCAAATGAGTCAGATGCAACAAGCCCCTATGTCTGCAGTGCAACAATTGCAACTACCGGTGAGACTGTTACATAAATTTCATGGTTCTATGCTTTATCGTATCTCTAATGAATTATGGTTAAGTGAACGATTGAACGACTTATCTATAAGTGACGTTCTATCACAATTGCATGCAGCGCCTCTTCCGAGAGATCACTGGGAGTACGTTTCACTATCTGGAGTCTGGCATCACACGTTTAGTGTTTCAAAAACAACATTTTTTTTAATCTTCCTCCACGGCCTGCTCGAGAGGCGTTCCCTTATCACCGACCGTAATTTCTTGAGAGCCGTGCTGAAAACTTTTGAATCAACACTTGTTAGAGATCTGAGCGGGACTGTCTTTGATAACAGACGCTCAGAATTGTTTAAAATTCTTAAGTCTGTCTGCTAGCTTACTTACACTGACTATCGTCTCTTTGGGAAGCTGTTATACCGTCTCGTATTCGTCGTGTTGGGTCTCCGGTAATCGGGTCGGTTGGGTCTGCGTTGAAAGAACTATTTTTTCTGTCCGCTCGTTGATCTGTATGACTGTCTTGTTTTCCGTATTTTGTCGCTTTGTTGAACTTTTTCTCGATTTCTTTGTCTTTGTTCGTTTTTTCCAGGGATTTGGCAATCATTATGTGTCCTAGTTCCTTTCCGAATAGCATTTGAAAATGGCAATCGTATGAAACGCGCTCTGCGTCCTTGTATTAAGGTTCATGAAAACCGAAGATTTTCAGGGTTACACATGAACACAGGCTTGCTAGCATTCGGCTTGTTATACTTATAACGCTCAGTAATTGTAGATTTTCCGGTTTATTTTCTTTTAATAAAGAAGATGATAGTTCTGGTGCCGATCGGCAAGCGGATAACTCCTTTGCTTGTCTATCATTCGGATATCCCTGTTAATCGCTCCTTCCGGTAACGATGATAATTTCAATTCCGGGTTTAGTTTAGGTGGTTTTAATACTCTAGAATTTTCAGGAACTGAATAATCCTTTACGAAGTATTATAAGGAGATTTAACGCCATGTATTGAAACCGTTCCCACTTTAGGGGTCCAAGATGTTCAGATTTTTCCTGATCTAGTGCCGAGAGCGCCACCTTGATGAAATTTTGCAATTAAAAATTATCGTCTGCTAGCATGTCTGCTAGTCTTTATCGCGTTAAAATCATCTCAATCTGTACATCATATGCGGATTATCGTTTCACTTTGCGTACCTTAATTGCAAAATTGAAAGCATTTTGAGTAATTTACGTCGGTAGGAAACGTTTTGGTCACGTAGGATTGGAGTTCCATCGTTTTCCGCAAGTAGCGCTCGCATCGTTGGGTCAGCGAAAATCTGATATCCTGGGTCCCGATTTTGGGGCCACTTTCTGTGGAATCGACGATAAGCGTTGTGTCTCCTTAAACTACTTCATGATCTCTGCACACAGAAAAGGAATGACGGTCGATGATGAGCGAACACCCCTCGGGCAGACCGTGAACGTAGATTGAAAAGATTTGGTTTTTTAAAGTCTAACCGTCTGCCTCTCACCATCTGCAGATGGCGAAGGGTAGTACCAGTGATCTGAGGAAGAGGCGCTGAATATAATTGAACATAACCATACGGCATTAAGAACAGTATATCAAACCGTCCAATTAATCATAATTAGGTAGATTAACGTAGGTATTTTATGGGAAAAAATTTGCGTATGGAATATTACAGTTTAATAATTATCTAAACGACTGCAGGAACTTTATGGTTAATGTGGCTCTATAATTCCCATATAACTGCAAAATTCAAGAAAAATAAAAACGTACTTTTGCGTCATTTTCTATACGTATAATATACCGTACTGCAGATTGTAATATATAAATAACGTCTGATTATATAGGGTTTATTATACCGTTCCTATATATATATATATATTACGAAAAAAGGATTAGCTATAGTTATGGAGTTAAAAAGGTATTGATATATTCATGAATGTTGGAGCAAATGTGAAGGAATATTTTAAAGAAAATTGAAACTTTGCTTATTTTTGACATATGTCATATAGCCTGTGATTAACTCTCGTTCGTCGAATCTATGTTTCTGTTCACTATTCATTTACATTGCTCTTTTGTTTCTTATATATAAACAGTTTAATATCAAGAGGACGGCGACTTCTATAATGCCAAAAAAACTTGTTAGTGTTAAGAAAATTCATTTGTTCTTCTTTCGTTGGCCAGTTTTTTATTATAATCGTTACGTTTCAGACGATTAATCCAACAATAATAAGCAATCAGATAGTCAGCGGAACATCGCAAGTACAAACGATGTCGATGGTTAACCAGACGACAGACGCTACTCAACACGAAAGCAACAATTCTCCTATGGTAGTAACTTCGCCCGAACGTAGTCACCAAGCTGAGTGTTCATTAATGCTGTCATCTAACGCAAGTGCGCCTCTTAACAACGAGGATAGTTTAAAAGTTATCTCGTTAAAAGAGGAGATGACACCTATGGTCGTCGACGAGACAATTGCACCTAGTACGGACGGTGCAGGTAAAAGTTTCTTTCAATCTTCCCTTCTATAGAAAATAAGTAGTTTCAATTGATTACATCATCGAAATGCTTTCCACTTTTTATTACAGACGCTGATCAATGTAAGAACGTTAAGAAAGAGGAAGGTGAGAATACATCTTCAAAGATTGAAGACAAGCCTTGTAGCAATCCTTTAACTGGTCTGGCCAATACAGTAAACTCTATAACAAATGGTGCTTCTAATGAGGAGACGACGACCATTTCTGTTTCCACGCCTTCCATAGTTAATAATAAACAAGTGCCACCTAAAGCCATGGTGAAGCCCCAGGTTTTGACACATGTTATCGAGGGATTTGTCATACAAGAAGGTACGCATCTTGATGAAATCCCGTCTTTAGATCTAAGTTAAGATGGACCTAGGTCAAAAGTAATACGGAGCAATTGTAATAGTAGTTATATATCTTTTTTCTACTCAGAAAGGAGCGTTACATTAGCCCTGACGAGTATCACAATCGAAGACTGCACCGCTTGCAGTTGTAACAAAGACATGAAAAGAAGTAAAATGTTGAGGTTTTCATGAACTTTTAAAGTGTTAAAATGTGGACCATCTTTAACCTGTTAAGGTGAAGTGAAACACGTCGAGGAACTTGATCGACGTTGATAAAGAAGGTTTTTCTAAATGCCTACGTTGCCGACGATCGTTTTTATATTGACAGCTGGGTCGAATTATATTGGATATTGTACCAAATGACATACTCCACCTGCCGTTTTCGTACAATAAATATCAAGAAATCGAAGTAAAACTCCAGAAATCCTCTGGATTCATGCTTTCTGGGGCCCTTATTCACTGCAGAGGGACCCCCTGCGCCATCTGTGATTTCCAGGTCAATTAAATTTTCACTCCGAGACCTCGTATTACCATCGTTTTAGTATAGAAGCGTATACAACACTTTTTTTGCCTTTATCCCGTTCAAATGCGAGTTTATCGATTACCAGAGTGTTCTAAATTGTCGTAAAATTGTCCTGACCCTTTCGTTTCTCATGTCAGAGGCTTCGATAATTGTATATTCATCGAAATATGAGAGCTCGATGCCATTTTGGTTCTGGTTTGGGCTAAGTTAAAAATTTTGTTAGAAAATCCAAATTTTGAATGTATTAGGACAGTTCTTAGATAATCAGGTGTGGTGTGTCAAAGTTTCGGACAGTTTGGTCTAATACCCTTAAAAATAAGTGTTGTATTCGAATCGACTGATTTGAAGGTGGTTTCACTTCACCTTATCTGCGGAATTTACTGTAGCGTTGTGGGTTACCGACTTGAATACACGTCGAACGCAGTTAACTGGTTAAGGGGAAGGTTTAGTCGCTATGTTTGCCAAGGCGTCAATCACAAACAGTTACTACAATCACTTACAGAAATAAAATCGTAAAAATTATTACAATTAACCTCGGTCCCCCCTATTAAGGTGAAGTGAAACACCCCTCAAATCAGTCGATTCGAATAAAATACTTATTGTTAAGGGTATTGGACGGAACTATCCGAAACTTTGACACAAGACTCGTAATCTTCTAAGAATTGTCCTGACACTTTCAAAATCTGAATTTTTGAAAACAATTTTTTAACTTAACCCGGACCAGAACCAAAGTGTAGTCGAGCTCTCATATTTCGATGAATACAATTATTGAAAGTTTTAATATATGAAACGAAAGTGTCAGGATAATTTAACGACAATTTAGAATACTCTAGTAATCGATAAACTCTTGTTTGTACGAGATAAAGGCAAAAGAAGTGTCTTATGCGCTCCTGTGCTAAAACAATGGTAATACGAGGTCTCGGGGTGAAAATTTAGTTGACACGGAAATCACAGATGGCGCAGGGGGTTACTCTGCAGTCAACTAGAGCCTCAAAAGCCACGAATCTAGAAGTTTTCTAGAGTTTTACTTCGATTTCTTTATAATTATTGTACGAAAACGACAGGTGGAGTATGCCATTTGGTACAATACCCAATATAATTCGACACAGCTGTCAATATAAAAACGAACGTCGGCAAGTTAAGTATTTAGAAACATCTTCTTTACCGTCGTCGATCAAGTTCCTCGACGTGTTTCACTTCATCTTAATACGTTGACTATCAAAGTGATCACCAGACCGGTAAACGTTTTGCAGTAGTAATTGTCATTTGTTTTAGCAGAAAACGTGTTAAATAATTGATGATCTCCCTTACCAATTATTGAAAAAGTTCCATTATTTGAAATAAAACGTTTACTTTTTCGTAGATTGTCATAGAGTATCTTTAACGTAGCGCGATAAAACTTACAAATAGGACCTCTGCCACAGTTAACATTTCATTTAAAACAATTTTTTTTTTATTCAATTTAACGCAAGAATCCATTGAATTTGTATATTTAATGAATTATGAATAATTTTATTTTAAATGCAAACTTTAATGCAATGTATGTGCACTTGCATTCTATTTAATTATAAGATATCAGTAATCTTTTAACACTATATTTATATATAATCTTCGTCTGCTACAAATATAATATTTAGTAGGTTTTTGTTAACGGCCGTGGGTTTTGTTAATTTTGTACGGTATGCAAGAACTCGAATATGATACTTTTCATTGAAAATAACTGTTCTGCAGGCAGTCCTTTTTTCGCACATTTTATTACAAGGGAAATTAAATAAATATGTTTGCAATTAATAATTAATTGATTTACAGCTTCGGAACCATTTGCGGTTAATCGGTCGTCGTTAAGTGGTTCAGTCTGTCAGGTTGGTCAGGATACGAGCAATACTTTAAATCGTAGTATGATGTCGTCGGATAAAGATGCCCTTGAAGAACCGCCAAGTAAGACTTCGAAATTTATTATTTAATATAGTATCGTAATTTACTTCCAATATAACTAACGTTATTTAATACATATTGTACAGTGATGGACATGAATGCCTTTCCTACAGATAAGGCGTCCCCAGTGCATGATAGAAAGTTATTCATGTCCACCAATGTACGTATTGTTTATCTAATTCGTCTGACTTGATTCTGTTATATTTTAAAGGAAAGAAGCACGCTTCTAATTATTCCACTGAAGTAGATGGGAATAGTGGGCAATATATGAAGTGTGAATGTTGCGGAAATAGCGTCGATGAACAGAATGGAAAGTATAAAAAAGAAAAACGCTTTTGTTCCTCAACTTGTGCGAAGAGGTTGGTTCAGTTTGATTATTCATATAGTATTCATACAACTCTGTGGTTTCTCATGTGTCTATTGCACGTACTTTCTACATACATTTGTGTAATTGTCAATTTTACACAATTACTAGTTCAAATCATAGGACTTCATAAAGTGTCCGTAACTACGCTCCGCCAAAAAAAAAACCTTTAAAAATAAATTTTCATTATATTCAAGTTAATGTGATCATAACAAATTAATGTATGTAGATTAATACCTACGACCTATGAAAAATTTATGAATTTCAATTTCTTATCTTGTCTTTTAATATATCTTTTAATAAAATCATAGGACTTCGTAAAGTGTCCGTAACTACGCTCGGCCAAAAAAAAAACCTTTAAAAATAAATTTTCATTATATTCAAGTTAATGTGATCATAACAAATTAATGTATGTAGATTAATACCTACGACCTATGAAAAATTTATGAATTTCAATTTCTTATCTTGTCTTTTAATATCTCAGTATAAAATATATTAAATGTAAAATATCGCCGCGTGCTAACCGTCAATTTAAGCGCTGTATTAAATTTGCGTTTTGTTGAATTACTTTTTACGTTGTTCCAGTAAACGAAAGGATATGCGAGACCGCGAAGGGGGTGACAAAGAATGGACGGAAATGGAGACGGATACAAAAAGTAGCAACGGCAGTGCTCTTAAGAAAATGAGTGAAGAAAGATTGCCGTCCGCAACGACTACCACTTCCACGGCGGATGACGTGACCCCGAGGATCAATCCGATCAAGTGGACGGTAACAAAATTTATAATCCTAAAGGTGAAGTGAAACACGTCAGGGAACTTGATCGACGTCGGTAAAAAAGGTTTTTCTAAATACCTTCGTTGCCGACGTTCGTTTTTATATCGACGACTATCTCAGTTTCTCGATTACCAGAGTGTTCTAAATTGTTGTACAATTATCCCAACCCTTTCGTTTCTCATATCAGAGCCTTCAGTAATTGGATATCGATCGAAATGTTAGCGCTCGACGCCATTTTGGTTCTGATCTGGGCTAAATTAAAAAATTGTTTTCAAAGATCCAGATTTTGAAAGTGTCAGGGCCATTCTTAGAAGATCACGAGTTATGTGTCAATGTTTCGGACAGTTCGGTCCAATACTCTTTAAAAAAAAGTGTCTTATTCGAGTCGACTGATTTGAGGGGGGTTTCACTTCACCTTAACTCTATTTACGTATCCCACTTAAGATTATGAATTCTAAAATATTTGAATAATAATATATTTTAATGATTATCCGAACAATAGGTTAGCGAGGTATGTGATTTTATAAGACTCTGCAGTCAACTAGAGCCTCAAAAGCCACGAATCTAGAAGTTTTCTAGAGTTTTACTTCGATTTCTTTATAATTATTGTACGAAACGACAGGTGGAGTATGCCATTTAGTACAATACCGAATATAATTCGACACAGCTGTCAATATAAAAACGAACGTCGGCAAATAACTGCAAAATTCAAGAAAAATAAAAACGTACTTTTGCGTCATTTTCTATACGTATAATATACCGTACTGCAGATTGTAATATATAAATAACGTCTGATTATATAGGGTTTATTATACCGTTCCTATATATATATATATATTACGAAAAAAGGATTAGCTATAGTTATGGAGTTAAAAAGGTATTGATATATTCATGAATGTTGGAGCAAATGTGAAGGAATATTTTAAAGAAAATTGAAACTTTGCTTATTTTTGACATATGTCATATAGCCTGTGATTAACTCTCGTTCGTCGAATCTATGTTTCTGTTCACTATTCATTTACATTGCTCTTTTGTTTCTTATATATAAACAGTTTAATATCAAGAGGACGGCGACTTCTATAATGCCAAAAAAACTTGTTAGTGTTAAGAAAATTCATTTGTTCTTCTTTCGTTGGCCAGTTTTTTATTATAATCGTTACGTTTCAGACGATTAATCCAACAATAATAAGCAATCAGATAGTCAGCGGAACATCGCAAGTACAAACGATGTCGATGGTTAACCAGACGACAGACGCTACTCAACACGAAAGCAACAATTCTCCTATGGTAGTAACTTCGCCCGAACGTAGTCACCAAGCTGAGTGTTCATTAATGCTGTCATCTAACGCAAGTGCGCCTCTTAACAACGAGGATAGTTTAAAANATAATAATATATTTTAATGATTATCCGAACAATAGGTTAGCGAGGTATGTGATTTTATAAGAGGTTTACCAGGCTGTGCGGATTATGCCGAGGATTTCGCAATTCAAGAAATTGACGGACAAGCACTTATGCTACTTAAAGAAGATCATCTCATGTCTGCGATGAGCATCAAGTTGGGGCCAGCCTTGAAGATCGTAGCTAGAATTGATTCTATGAGAATAGATTCGGTTACAAATTCAGCTCCTGCATCTAATGTTAGTTCATAAGTTGATCGGCTTCTCGATACTTCGAGAAGAAGTAAAAAGTGTAGAAAACGTAGCCATTCGAAGCTACAGGGTCTGTGCAAGTAATTTCGTTAACGTGATACGATGCGGCTTGTAACCGTAGCTTGACGAGAAATCTTTAAAAATAGTTGCATAGTCCATTTCCGTGTATTACATGGCGTTCGACAAATGATGAGTTTCTTCCCATTAATTAGAACGATACATGTCATATGTAAGTACGGACTACATCGTTAAGTTATTGATACGGTTGGAATGCCTAATCTGTGTCAGGTTATACGTTGTGTTATATGTCACATTGTATACTGTACGTCTCATCACCAATGTATGTTCTACGTAACGAATGCTGTAGTAATACAGTATTAAATTATAGGGGTCACATATATTTAAGTCATTGATACTATTAGGACCATATGCGTCGCATAAGCGCCATACGTAAGGTAAATGTACCAGCAGCTGACCAATATCAACGTTTGATCATCTTTTATTGTAAAAACCGCATGAAACTAAGTATACCAGGAACGATCTGGTGACTTACCATTTTTAAGTACAAGTGAAGGCTGTTCTCTAAATGGTGCAAGACACTATATTTCGTGATTTGTATGAAATTACACGTGTGCTTTACCTGTTTAACATCGAGGCAGTAATCACGAGTACGCGAGGAAATTCGAATATATTCCAAGCATCAAATACAAAGTATTTAAATTCGAGTATTTCGAAGTATGCGTACTGGAAACGTCATCATTCGATGTTGTAATTAGCCTAGTCGGCGTTGTCCACTGTACTGGTCAGTTGTCAGTAGACATACCTTGCCTAATTCTTTTTCTATGACAATGTGAATCCAAGTACACCAATCATGCGTGTCAATGTAAATATTAACTATAGTGTTTATTTAAAGTATCAGATTTTATAAGGTGAAAATATAGTAATTTTAAAGTCAATTTTTAACATAATTTCCTGCTGCTGTATCCAAATAGATGATAAGGTAAATACCAGTTAACATATTCAATGCCGAAACAAATTTACGAATACGCTGTCGTAAACCGACTTTGAGTTATCGGCGACCCATATGGCAAGGAAAGTGTTAAGATGAAGTGAAACACGTCGAGGAACTCGATCGACGTCGGTAAAGATGTTTCCAAATACCTACGTTGCCGATGTTCGTTGTTATATTGACAGCTGGGTCGAATTATATTGGGTATTGTACTAAATGGAATACTCCACCTGTCGTTCCGTACAATAATTATAAAGAAATCGAAGTAAAACTTTATAAATCCTCTGGATTCGTGGCTTCTGAAGCCCTAATTGACTGCAGAGTGACCCTCTGCGCCATCTGTGATTTCCGTGTCAATTAAATTTTCACTCCGAGACCTTGTATTCCCATCGTTTTAGCATAGGAGCGCATAAGACACTTTTTTACCTTTATCCCGTTCAAATACAAGTTTATCAATTACTAGAGTGTTCTAAATTGCCGTCCAACTATCCTGACACCTTCATTTCATATATTAGAGCCTTCAATAATTGTATATTGATCAAAATATAAGAGCTCGACGCCATTTTGATTTTAGTCTGAGCTAAGTTAAAAAATTGTTTTCAAAAATCCCGATTTTGAAAGTGTCAGGATAATTCGTAGAAGATCACGAGTCGTGTGTCAAGGTTTCGGAATAGTTCGGTCCAATACCCTTAAAAATAAGTGTTTTATTCGAATCGACTGATTTGAGGGGTGTTTCACTTCACCTTTACACTTAAATGACCGCTCACAAGATTTCTCGTGTTTCAATGCTGAGACGTAAAAGAGCGGCAACATGATTTCTCGTTTTTATTTCTTTTCGCCGGTCTTAGAGTAAGCCTACGGGAAATAATATGCGGTCATTTAAATATTAATACTTTGTCAGTCGCTTATTTGTCGTATCGCCATTACGCTGCCGTCGGGAAGATTCAAGCCGGTTCTACTACTCGGCAATGGTGATATTTACCCAATAGTTGCAATATAATTATTATTAAAAAAGGCATTGAGATAACTGTTACACCATTTTAATTGTATAGTCTTATATTTTTAAATTATTATTGTATGAATTATTATATAGATTGACCGTACCTGAAAGGGATGGAAGTCAGGTTCCAAATCAAATTCTGACCAATCATACGTCAAAGAACTCTCTTCGTCACTTTCAGAGTCACTGATTATCGGTCTTCCCTTATTTTTGAATCGTCTCGCAACGATATCACTCTCACTGTCCAAATCGCTATCACTTTCACTGTCAGAACTATTATCCACGTCCGATAATGCATCGGCATATATTTCTTCATTGTAGAACATTTTGAGGGGTATTTTATAACTTGTAATAGATCTAACGATAAGCTTTCGATATTCGAAGGCAGCGACGAAAGACAATCTCAAACTAACGGAGCAAGCGTCCGCATAAAAAATTTCAACAAAAAAAGATCTGGTAAATTGGGAGGGGAAAACAGTAGAAACTGTTCGTTATTTGTTGCTCCGAATCAATATATCTACCTATATAATCATCGGATTGAAGCATTACCGCTGGCGAAAAGAAGTCACGCGTACATGACAGCGGCCGGCAATCTGTTAAGGGCGTTCACCACTCCAGCGATTTTGTAGGGCCTCACGGGGACAACGATTCTGAACGTATTTCTAAACCGATCGAGCTTAACGAGTGCTCATATCGAAGATGAAATGTTGATCTGTGTTTATATGGGAGCGATTTTCGATAAGTGGTCATTATCATATAAAAAAGTGCAACGACATAATTTCAATGCCCATTTAACTAGGAAGGAGGTGCTCGATCGAAAATCGCTCCCATATAAACACACGTCAACATTTTATCTTTAAAACGAGCATTCGTTGAGCTCAATCGGTTGAGAAATACGCTCAAAATCGTTGTCCCCGTGGAGCACCTTTTTCAGGATTTTCGAGTTTCTCGCGAGGAATTTGGGCATTCCTTAGCAACCGTTGCCGACTCTAGGCGGAGCGTCCAACTTGCGTGTGCGTGCGGCCGAGTGTCGCACACGTTTCGGCGCCTAGTCCAGAGGCGTCTAACCGTTGTGTGAGTTGTATACGTGCAAAATACGCACACATTTTTCGCCCGTTGCTAAACACTGCCCATTATGCGTCGCGTCTCCCTCATCCGAGCGAGAAAGTACGTTTTGGTTACCTCCCACCGAATTCGATGCTAATGCCATCTAGCGGTGGAAGTCATCGTCCCCACTTGGTGGTGAATGCCGTTAAGGAAACTCAATTGTGCCCATAATTATGAAAGTGGTCTAAGTCATATATTTTTTGTTTCGAAATTACATTGAATTAATTTAGTTTGAAATAATGTGGCGTGAAATAACTGATAAACTCATTTTTTTTTTCAATTTTGACTTAGAACACTTTCATAATTATGGGTACAATTGACTTACTTCTACACCGGTCGCCGATCAGACTTTTAATTTAAGATGCCACTAGCTAGTTCAAAACGGTATTTGTTGTTGATTGTATTTTTTAAGTATTATCTTCAACATAATTTTTTAACGACTAAACAATACGAGGTGAAACGATTCTCTTATTGTAGAAAATTATAAATTGGGGCCCGTGTATTTTCTTCCCATTTTTTCTCATTATTACCAATGAGCCGTTTATTTTGAAAGTGGCCTAAGTCCATTTATACTTAAATTGAGATATTTAAGGGTTTGTGATTCATGCAATTAAAAATATACGTACAAGATACCAATGAGTCATAGTGCTTAAGTGTATCTAAAGGAGTTAAATTTACAGTTCCTATTAAAATAATGGCAATTATTAAGTGAATAATATGCGTCTTCTTACCAAGAATAGAGTTAAGCCACTTTCAAAATTAACAACCAGATTCGTTATAAAATTTGAAAGAGCCCAAGTCCATTCAACATAATTTAAAATGCTTCAAATTGAAAAAAACAATACTCAATTTATTTTATATATCTTTACAGCACTTCAAAAACAATATTTATGCAATTCAGAACATTTTTTAACTACATAAATTACAATACAATTTACTGCTGATCTACATTTTGTATATGTGAAAGGGATTTAAAGAAGTCATGATGTTCCGGTGGTATATATCGTAGTAGGTCTTTGAATTTTGCTGTTGTAATTTGTCTTGTATTTTTATAAAGGGGTGTCAATACAATATTTTAGAACTTTCTTGGTCTACCCCGACGTGGTAATGAATCCAGGACCTTAAAATTTTCATTCTCATTCGTTGATGTCTTATAGAAAATTTTATATGGTTCATTTCTGACAAAACGCATCCAACATATTTTTAATCAGTTTATTTATTTTTCGTTAGAATTCATTACCCTTTTAAAAATTGCGTCTTCTAATAATTTTGTTGATACAAAATTCTCTCGTTTCGTTTCATTTAAAATAAAGTTATTGCCTCTCCGGCAATTTTTTATAATATTATAATGATCTTGGTGGACAAACAGTAAATTATTTTCTTTTAATGACATTTCTACCACGCCAAAATCTCTATCATTTGGTAAAAACGAATGTCCTGACATTAAAAATGTATGATCTACGATTTCCACATTATGTTCAACAGTTTGGACAATTTTTAGCCACATTAAAGCTACTTTAATGTTTCTATTTTATCCTGCACACATGTCACTGTAAGCTATAATGTGTCATTCGCTTCTTAAATTTAAGTACCTCTTGATGCAATAGTTTCATCCCAAGCGTACATGCGAACATTATCGTTATGAAAATTGTAAATACCCAAATTTAGAACGTACATATAGATTGGACTTAGGCCACTTTCAAAATGATGGTTTTAATTATTGAACTAACTCTGAAAACTTATGTGTCCAAAATTATCGCATTTACTCGGAATATAATTAACCTCAAATGCTTTATTGATAGATAGCTTCAAGTTGTACACGTAAATACGGGCAACCGAAAATAATTGACAAATGGACTTAGGCAACTTTCAAAATAAACGGCTCAAATTAGGTACCATAGTTACCTTCTTCTTTGGGGAAATCGAAGTCATCGACACAGCATAGTTGTAGATGAAGATAGATGGGAAATGTGAAGCCGATGGAGGTGGAGAAATCGCTTCGTTTAACCACTTGCGCTACGATTTAATTTTCGGTTCCCGTGGCGCACTCTACAATATAACATGTGGTATAACATCCGTACAACATACCCTATCGATTCTGAAATATTTCCAAGATATCGATGACGCTACGCGATGTCGTGCACTCTGGAACTGTAGCTCGAATAATGAACGATCCAACTGTTAGCCGACGTGCCGGACACGTCGATTTTGTTTCTGCGACAAATGCCTAACGACGTGGTATACATGTCGCTGGCAGTTTTGGAACAAAAGCATCTCGACGTGCGTGGCACGTCTTTATAGCGCAAGTGGTTAAAGAAGATGAGAGTATAAGATACTATCATGTAAAGATCACTACGATATCAGGTCGTATCTGTGAGACTACTCATTGCTGCGATAATGTTTCGACGACATGGCAGTCAGTGAGGTAAGTATGTGAATATCTCCTAAGGGTTTAACTGTAGAGTACATTGATAACCCTCCCACAAAAAATGTTGAGTACAGGATTGTAACGAATCGCTCGTATAAAAATCACTTTTTCTGCCTAACATTATGTTTCTGCAACATTATGAGTCAATATTAGATTCGACACTTTGTAGATTCACAACTTCTTTTCGTTATTGCTACAGCAGCAATTATTTGTCATTTACTTGTCACTTACTAATATGTTAACCCTTTCACGACCGTAATTAAAGATAAAAATCTAAAACATCTTCTTCTTATAGAATTCGCCCTCAGATTCGACATTTTGTAGATTCACTATTTCTTTATGTTTATTGCTACAATAGCAATTATTTACCATTTAATTGTCACTTACTAATATGTTAAACGCTAAGAGATTC